TTTTTTTTTTTTTTTTTTTAATTTTTGTTGATTATTGTTTATGTTGTTTTGGATATTCATATTTATGTCTTTTGTTTCGCTTTTATTTTTTGTAGTTTTGTCGTGTGTTTGTGTTTTAGTTGTTCAATACATCTCAAGTGATGTTGTCCAATTATTGTTCAAGAGCTACATGCGAATTAGGGCATTTGAGCTGGTAAAAGTTGTGTAAATAAAAATGCAACATATACTGAAAATATATTGACTTCATATCAACCGATTTCTAGTTCATTTTGAATGTTTATTTGATGTTTATTCATAGTTTATGTTTGACATATTAACAAAACTTTTTGTGTGAATTGATTCTAATTACTTGATGTTTATTCATAATTTTTTTATTTTTGTATTGGTTCGTAAACCCATAATAAATTGAAAAATATATTAGATATAAATTTACAATAAAAAATTGGTTTACATATTTACATAAAGAGATGATTAAATTTAAATGGAATGGAATCTAGAGAAGATGGAGGAGAGAAGGAGAAAATTATGGAGAAGAGAAGGAATAAAAAAAGGAATGAATAGGAAAGATAGTATGTGAAATAGGAAAGAGAGTAATGAAGAGAATTTTTAGGATTTCACCGCCTATTTCTCCACTGGATCTTCTAGCTTCCCTGGTGTTGGATCTTTAGGTCCGACGGCGAGGCAGTCGACTGCCTTTGGTGATTGGCTGCCTTTGTCCGGTTTGGTGTTGGGGGTGTTTCGGGGTGGTGCTTCCAGGAGGGTGTTTTGTGTGGTGTTTCGGTTGGTTGCACGCCGACTGTCCGAGGTTGTCGGCAAGGCGTTCTTGTGCCACGTGGCTCGTTTCCCTGGGATTTGCCGCTCAGAGGTGGTGTTCTCGTTGGCGTAGCCATGCCCAATTCCCTGATTAGTTCTCGTCATTCTCTGACTGCTTGGATGGCGAAGAGGGCGACCGAATATGACGGTGTTTTTTGCAGCGTTGGGCAAAACTCTGGTGCTTCTTTGGGGTGGGTCGCGGCCGCGTTCCTCTTTTTGGGGATCCAGAGTGGAGGGTTTTGCCACCTACCGTCGTGTCCATGTTGTCTCTGGTGTTGGGCGGATGTGTTCGGCTGGCTAACTTGGGCCGTGGGCTAAGTTTTTGAGCCTAGGCCTAGTTGTCCGACTGGTTTAGGTGGTTTGTGGTGTGGGTTTCCGAGTGCGGGTTTTGGGTTTCCGTCGGGGTGTAGGTTGGGTCCTTTGGCTTCCGACCCACTAGGCGTTTGATTTGGGCAGTTTCTTGTTCGGATTCCAGGGTCTTCACTTTGTCCGTTTTGGATTGGTATCTGTTGACGCCTTCGTTGGTTGGTTTGGTTTGGCTGTTGGCTGCGGAGGGGTGGTGCAACTGTAGTTTTTTGGTTTAGGTGTTGGGTGTTGTGTTGTGTGTAGGCTGTATTTTTTCTTCTTTCTCTCTTGTTGGGAGTGCGTTATGTGTATTCTCTTGTTGGGAGTTTTTGTTATTCTCCTTTTGGAAACGTTAGTTGTTTAATTTGTTGTGTTGTGGGTGAGTTATTGTAGTTTCTTCTAGGCTACCTCTGGGTAGGCCTCCTGAATTTAGTTGTTTGGCTGCTTGGAGATTCTAGATTCTAGCTATAATTATGTGGTTTTAGTTTTTATAAAACTTTTGTCATTTCGAAAAAAAAAAGACTTTATATTTATCATGTACAAGAGCTTTCAGTTCCTCTCTCGTCATTTTCGGATGACTTCTAAGGTTTTCAATCACCCTATTAGTATTAGCGAATTTTTCTTTCACTTCCTCCTTCTGGCAAGTATGGCTATTGATGAAAGCTTCCACTTTATGTATTCGATTTTCCAACTTTAGAACAATATATAAGCCACATACAATTTCCCACGTTTCACCTTGCACCAAGTAGCATCTTTTCTCACAATAAATAAATAAATAAATAAATTATACATATTTTTAATGCCATAAGTCTTAACAATATCATGAAAATCTTCAATTGATGCAAATCTTTTCCTCAACTTAAAGATTACTTCTATGCTGCTGGTTTATATACATGTCTAGTTAATTTCTTCTTCACTACCAGAGGCTTCAGAACAATGAATGCTCCTTAATTCCATCAGAAATTTGATGGTAGCTTCTTTAGATAACTCGCTCACTTCATCGAATTTTTTTGCGATGGTCACATCAACAAACGATTCTTTTAGACGATTATTATTCCAATCACTATTGTAATGATCAAAATTCCATTCCCAAAAATCTTCGTCCATTTGGTTGAAACATTTATCATCAATATTCCCATCATTAACATATATTTTAGCTATCATATTTTGAGTAAAAAATAAACAAAATAACGAGAATGTGAAAATAGAGTTTACATACATTGCATATATCACAATACAACCAAAAGAACAAAAAAAGATACAAAAACAATACGAACTCCATAAATACTTAAATTTACTTGCAAGAATACAATTGAATAAGTCTAAAAATATAACTTATAATTTTGACGAAAAGAATGAAGAATTGTTGAAGAAGACGGGGCTTGAAAGAGTTATATGTTTTTCTCTGAAGTGTGAAATACAATTTAACTCGAAGAAGAAGAATATAAATTGTTCTGCACGTAACCCTTACTTTCTATGTGTAGTTTATTATTTTAATTAAATTATTAATTGAAGAATATCATATAATAAGAGTGATATTGTTATTTTAGTAATTTCCTTTTTCTTTTCCAATGACGTGGCTCGCTTAGGTGGCTTTTTGACGGCCACATCAGCTTTGTTGAAAGGGGTTGTTAACGGTGTTAGTTCTGTGGGTCTTGGATTGATGTAATTGGGATACATGTAAGTCTCATATTGATAGAATTTATCTTTTAAGTCTCGAATAGATAATTATTCTATCTTTTGGGTCTTGTAGCGACAAAACTCCAATATATTAATTAAAGCAAACACCTAATTCGTGGACAATTTTATTATCTTTATTTCTTATTTTTTTTCCATTCAACTTCTGTATAGTGTATAACGTTTGTAATCTTGTAGGCAAAGTCACACATCAACACTTACTATTTATATAATACAATACATATACAATAACCTAATAATTCTAAAATTAACTAGGTTAAAAAATATCAAACACAAAAATCCGTTTAAGATTTTCTCACTAGTCTACCCATCCATGGTCGCGTGGGAAAGAACAAAGCTCATCAATTTTCATCACCACCAATTCTCCTTCGACTTTGACAAAGTCAAAAGCAATATTATATTTGGAATAGAAACTTTCCACCATCCTCACCATGGCTAGCCAATACCTCTACATCCCATTATAAATACCCCATCACCACTCCCCTTACATTCACTCAATTCCCACAACATGAACTCCCTCACCACAAAAAAATCTCTTTTCCCACTCCACACACTGCTAGCCCTGGCCCTCTTTCTGGCCACCGGGGCCCAATGGGCCTCGGCCCAGAACTGCGGGTGCGCCACCGGCCTGTGCTGCAGTAAGTTTGGCTACTGCGGCACAGGCGACGCGTACTGTGGCGAATGGTGCCAGCAGGGCAAGTGTTACAACAACAATAATAACAACCCGCAGTCTTCAGGTATCGTGACTGACGCCTTTTTCAACGGGATAATTAGTCAGGCTCGATCAGATTGCCCTGGGCGAGGGTTCTACACCCTGTCCGCTTTTCGACAGGCAGTCTGATCTTACCCTGAGTTTGGGACAACCGGGACAACAGACGACTCCAAGCGCGAGATTGCCGCGTTTTTTGCGCACGTCACGCATGAGACTGGCCGTATGTTTATCGAAAGCCAAAATAATAAATAACTCATTAAACAAATTAAAATTAAAATTATTTTATTTCATTTTATTTTTTCGAAAAATGCAGATTTTTGCTATATAGAGGAGATAGGCGGGGCATCCCGGGACTATTGCGACGAAACCAACACGGCGTACCCATGCGTGTCGGGTAAGGGATACTACGGTCGGGGCCCGTTACAGTTGTCGTGGAACTTCAACTACGGGCCGGCGGGCCAGAGCATTGGGTTCAACGGGCTGAACGACCCTGACGTTGTAGGTAAAGACCCGGTTATAGCATTCAAGACGGCGCTGTGGTTCTGGATGAACAACTGCCACAAGAAGATCGTGTCCGAGGGCTTTGGGTCCACGATTCGGGCCATTAACAGCATGGAGTGCAACGGGGGGAACGCTGATACAGTCACTGCCCGAGTTAACTACTACACGGACTATTGTGGACAACTCGGAGTTAACCCGGGCGATAATACGAGGTGCTAGAGAGATATATGGAAACTTCACTAAAATTATATGATTTAGTGTTATGCTTTTCTTCCCGGTATTTATATGTACCGATTACTATATGTAATGAATAAAAATGTTCGACAACGGGTGGCTATTTTCCGGCCGATCCGTTGCTAGCGCTTTCTAATAGACAATTTACTTCAAAATATTCAAAATAGTTTTAAAATATTTTAAATTTCTTGAAGTAATTTATTTTGGGATGTATGCATATGTCATGATAAAAAAAAAAAAAAA